ATGCAAGAACACGATCAGAGAAAAAACAGTCCGGCATTAAGGTTCGCTACCCCACGCACGCACGCAGCCACACACACCACACACACACACAACACACACACACCACACACACACACACCAACCACACACACACAAACACAACACACCAAAGCCCCCCACAAAACCCACAGCCCCCAAAGATATATATATATATATATATATACTCTATGTTTCGTGTTCTTGCATGGTTTTATGCGAGGGGCTTGCCCGCTGAGTATATGAAGAGGTGGTGTTTAGCAACAATTCTTTCACAATACTAGTGTATAGATATTATCAGAAGTAGAATAGGGATCCCTTCCTGATATTATTTAACGATAGGGAGTTCACGATGGATTCCGATGGTGAGTACGTATGATTGAACATACTTATGACGATGGATGATTAACATTATTATTAACGAGTGATTGACTGATTGATGTACGATAGTGATAACGATATTGATTAACGATATGAGTAACGATATGCTTTACGATATGATTAAGATAGGTTGAACGAGATGATTAACGAGTATTGATTAACGATATGATTAACGGATATTATTAACGATGAGGATTAACGATATGGATGAACGAGATGATGAACGATATGAGTACGATATGATTAACGAGAGTGATTAACGATATGATTGAACGATTGTTAACGATATTGTGCACGATATGATTGCACGATAGGAGTCACGTATGGATTCACGATTGATTAACGATGATGATAAACAATATGTTATTTAGATTATGAGGTACGATATGATTACGATCATGATTCACGATATGATTCACGATGTGATCAACGATTGGGTTAAACGATATGGTTCACGCGACAGAACGCGTGAGTCACATTTTACTACGATAACGTATAATATATATAATACATTATAGTATAGAAAGGCACGGGGCGAGAGCGAGCGCGTACGAGGGAGATAGAGAAGAGAGAGGGGAGGTGAGAGGAGAGAGAGGAGACGAGACAGGGACGAGAGGAGAGACGGAGAGAACAGAAGGAAAGAGAGAGAGACGGAGAGAGAGAGAGAAGGAAGAGAAGAGAGGAGAGAGAGAGAGATGAGAAGAAAGAGAGAGGAGAGAGGAGAGAGAGAGAAAAGAGAGAGAGATGAGGAGGAGAGAGAGAGAGAGAGAGATGAGAGAGAGAGAGGCGAGAGAGAGAAGAACGTAGTTGATCGCAATAGCATGGCAACTATGGCAAGCAAGCAATAGCATGGCAAGTATTGCAAGCACATGATAGCGCGGTGAGCAGACTATAGTGTAGTGAGTAGACGGTAGCGTGGAACAGACAGTAATGTGTAACAAATGATGGCATGGCAAGTAATAAGCAATAGCATGGCAACTATGGCAAGCAAGCGATAGCATGGCAAGTATGGCAAGCAGACGATAGAGTGGTGTGCAGACGAGAGTGTAATGACCGAAAACGTTAGCGTTTACTATAACGCTAATACTATAAGTTATAACGTATAATAGACTATAATGTATAATATAGGATAACGTATAATCGTATATAACATGCAATAGACTATAACGCATAATATAGACAATACCGTGCAATAGAATATAAAGTATAATAGTATGTAACGTATAATAGGCTATAACACACTTAATAGACTATAACGTATAATAGATTAACGTACAATAGACTATAACATATAATATACTATAACGTATAATAGACTATAAACTATAATATACTATAACGTATAATAAACTATAACGTATATAAGAGAATATAACGTACAATAGACTATAACGTATAATAGACAATAACGTTCAATAACGTATGGTAAACTATATTACGTATAAGACCCGATAGTTTAGTGCGCAGGTGTTAAATGCGATGAGCTCATGATGGATGAATGCGGGCTGCATCGTTTCATTCATATGTCACGCCGGCTGCAGATACTTCATATATCTACGCACTGCATATATCTACCCCACCCTGCATATATCTACACCACCCTGCATATATCTACGCCACCCTGCATATAT